CCCCCCCCCCCCCCCACTAAGCTACCAAGAATGGAACTATAACAGTTTAGCGGTCCTACAAGGGAAACAGTCAAAAAAAAAAAACAGTTAAAATCCTCCTTGCGTACACTTTTGTAGCGTTGTTGCCTGAAATACCCATTTTTTGTGCTAATAGACTTACAGATATTTCAATAGTGATAGAATCCTCATCATTGTGGAGGATCATCTGTTCTGTAGTCGAGGATGATTCGCAATGCACTTTCACGTAGACTTGTAATTCACCATGAGGCACTCTGCAAAGGAAATTATAGGATCTCGCCCTATGCGAAACACCCAGCGTACAAACAGCTCCACTGCTACTTCATACCGCTCTTGTCCTGTCCACTTTGATGTCACGTACAGGCGTTCTGCGCTCTCTTCGCCATCAAGGTTTCTGTGCATCACGACCTGAAGGATGATATGCTAAGCTGGAGCCCTAGCATTAGTAACCGAACACCCGGTCTTTGCTTCTCGGGGGATTCGTTCTGATGCTCGGCAAAAGTGCACTGTTTGCAAAAATTGATGGCTGGCCAGAGGTTTCTCATTTGTATCAAGACGTAAACCCAAACCAAATGGATTAACAATTAGCAAGTGCAAGTCGATAGAAAAAAAGACGAAGTTTCAGTCGTACATACCTCATACAGCTGATTGGGAGTGAATCCAGTTTGCTGTCTGCTTGCCGTTCTCAACAATCGAGTCTCTCTATGAACATTCGCCTCCCCATTCAACTCATTCTCACTAGTAAAGCGCAGCCCATACCATCTTTCGGGTTTCAAAAACGGTATGGTATATCTGCCTGAAATATTTCTTTCGAGGATGAATTTTATAGTGCGCTGTCACATAGATCTTATTCAGTGTCCCAACGGGAAAAATGGCAACATAGAAGAAAGCTTGTGTTCGGCTTGCAGCTCCTCGCTATGTACTCCACCTACTTTGATTTGTCTTGGCATTTTCTTTTCTAGAAAACCCACCGGTTTCGAGATTGATTGGGTGATTCGAGGGTGATCAAGCTTCTGGGAAGTATCTCCACTACAATGATACTGATACTTCTCACAGGGCGTCATTCACAGCCACAATTTATTTCCAAATAGATGTGTCTCGGGAATCAGTCTCGATCCTGGACGATAGATACAGAGGATCATAAATACTGTTACTTCGGCTCCGAGGAAGTGAAACAAGAATCTCCGAGCACAAAAGCACAGAATCATTCCGGGGTCAATACTTCTCGTCACAAAAATTCACACATATTTTAATGTTTTGACCTCTCCACCCCCTCTATTTCTTCTACTGCGTGTCATGCAATTCTATTCAACTGATATCAAAGTTAAATTTCAGAGGACTTCTATACTGCTTCTTTGAAATTTGAATCAAGAATGCATTATGTACGTGTTATGAAGAGAGAAGTGACTAAAAGCGTGGGGAAGGATAGATGAAATTCTAGATCTTCCAACATAGCTTCAAAATCGCTGGATTTCTCACGTCTAGTATTTCGAAGAAAAACCCTCTCCGAATTCTCCACTAGTTTCATTTCTTTCTGCTGGGGGACCGAAACTCCAAGTGTCCACTTGGATTTGTATTTTTTCTGGGCCTGGAGTATTGCAGATCAACAAGAAACACCCAAGAAGTTTCACAATCACATCATCCATAGATAAATTGCCACTGTTAAGTGCAAAAGTGAACTTTCGGCTTTTGGAGAACAGGCTGCTGCGGGTTGCAAACACTGTTCTTCTTCCATAAAGGAGAAAAACCGCTCAATCCTAGTCTTGGGACAGTTTTCATTGCCAATTAGGCCAGTGCCACTCCTTAGCATAAATATGTATGAGGAAGAAGCCAGCTGAGATCATATATTTGACATTGCATTGAGTAATGAGTGTATGAACTTTTGTCATTACTTTCCTCCTCTTTTTCTCCACTTTTATAATTGAAATTGAAAAGGAAATATCAGAAAAACAGTTATGGAGAAAAGCTCAATTGATGGAGCATATTTTAATCTTAGGGATAACCTAACTTGAAAGTTCTCAATTCCTTTGGATCCATTCGAGATCGCTCCGCACAAAACCTGAAGGCACAGTTCCTGGTAATTTCAGGGTCTTTAGTTTTAGGTAAATAACGGAAGTGATAGTTCTTGAAAAAGTTAGTTTTTGCTTCTGCTTCGAGGTTGGTTAGCGTGCAACCAAGAAGCTTTAAACCACTTTCAGGCCTTTGTAAACG